TATTATAATTAAGATTGCGTATTTCTAAAATGAATCATTACGAGACATAAATTTATATTCTACTATTCGGATAATCCGGATAACCTACCCGCGGATAATCTGTAGTGTTTTTTTTATTAACTGGATGATCCGAATAATCAGCTGCGGACGATCTGGGTTACAGTATCAGAACTTACTCTATCCACGTGATCGTACTGGTCCTGCGCGGCATCGCATGTCGCGCAGCTATCCTTATTTTTAAGTCTCGGCAAAATTTATTTTCTTAAGAACAAAAACTTTATAAAAATTTTTATTTTCGTTAATGGTTTAGATTATTTCGATTTTTTTTTTTTTTTTACTAGCAAAAAGAATTTTAGAAGTGCGTAAATAAAATACTATCGCTTAATTAAATATTTTAATTTTTTTTTTATTGAAGAAAAACTAAAACGATGTATATGACCTTGCAACTATGCTAAGGTGGTGTGATCTAGTTTATCCAATTAAAAACGGGATTCATGCCACAACTTGGGCTCCCACCTGTATATATGCAGGGGGATAACTATTTTCTTAGTGGTTGATATTTGAGTGCCCCCACATTCCAAATATAAACCTTTGTGTAACAGATTGAGCTTTCAAAAATCAGTACAAGTAATCGAAACGCCAATCAATGCTTAAATTCTTTTTGATCACATGTGCTATAAAGAAATCCCGGTTTTGATAAACAAATGTTTTATATTTAAAATGATATTTTCTCTTAGTGTCGCACTTTTTCACATTTAAAACATTAGAAAATAATTATGCAATATGTAGATTTAATAGCAGATTATCTAAGATCAGTGTAACAAAAAAAATTAAATTGAAGAGACATTTATACGTAACTTGAAATTTAATCGAAATTCGTATTGGTTTCAGCGTCATAGTTAAAATTGCTCTTTAATTCTAATGTTTGCAGTGTCATTAATTTATCCGTGAAATAATATACATAAAAATAACGAGACGGCTCAATCAGTTGGAATTAAAAGTTTTATGCTTACGTAATAATTTAATTATGTAATATACCAATGGCCCTTGTATTCGTTCTAATCTTACGTAAGAAACTACAAATTATCTAATGTCACGCAGTTTTAATAAACTTTGTTATAGAACATACTTGATCTACATTTTACAAATTTCCACCTTAGATTAATATTGTCTCTACCCTAATTAATACAAATAACATGGAATATGAAATAGACATAAAAGAAATGACCTATAATTATGATTGGTCATCGACATCTCTCGGTCCTATGGACACTTGGGAACCTTTGCTTAAGACTGCTGTGGTAATTTTATAATAATTCTTAACTTTAATGCACGATAGTTTACATGAATAGTCATGTATGAATTCTTTAGGATTTCTGCCTAAACTCAAGATTTCCTTTCGCTATTTACTGTGGTCCTGATCTAATTTTCATATATAATAAAGGCAAATATTTTAATTGCATTATTATTATTATTATTATTATTATTTGTTACATGTTTAATGATATTCATTTAAATAGCAATGGTACCAATCGTAAGAGAGAACCATCCATCTGGTTAGTCATGAATTCATAAATAAATAGGGGTGAATCAACAGAAGCAAGCAAATTTTTTATAATAATTTTTTTTTATAACTTTAATAGTAACTTGACAAAAACTTAATTAAATTTTTTAATAAAACCTTTTTAAATAAATACTACAAACTTGCCAAGTTAGTTTAAAAAATTTTTTATTAAACTCGGTCCTTGCTTGAAGTTTTAAAAAATTTTATTAAAAAATATATTTGCTTGATTTCTATTGATTCAACCTCAAATGTTTTTAATGAAAAGAAATGCTTTGCAAATTTTTGAAAATTTAAATAACCAAAATAAAATTATATAGCATTTGGAAAACCAATCTCTGAAACCTATCCACTTTGTCCTGCAATTAGGTATTATGAGCAGTAAATAGCATTAAAATTTCTTTTTTTTCATTATTACAAAATAAAAATATCTAATCTAGATTTATATATGTATATAAACATATGAAAAAAATCAACAGGAAAAGCCGATGGCGAATATCGTGTCGGCACATTTAACCCAATTTATCGAAAAAACTATACCGAAGAAAGTTATTTTAGCTATTCAATTAGCGCAATTTATAAAGAGGATGGTTCATTTTTGGCGATATTGAATCTGTCAGCAGATACAACACGCAAGGTCTTAGCCAATCGAAGACTAAAGTGTCTTAATGATTTAGAAATCGTATTAGGGGTTAGTAACATTCCTTATTCATTAATGAAAAGTGATCTAATAATGTAACGCATTTGTATTTATATTATCCTCGAAGATGTTGAATCTTTAGAGAATGGCAGCCATATTATAGTGAATACATTACACGAAAACAATAAAAACATTCCTTTTACACTAATTTATTTTATCGATGGCAATGAATCAGACACCAGTTTTGAACCGCGTATTGCTTATCTAGCTGCAACAACTTTTGATAGCGATTCCAAAGTGAATGATAAAAAGTCAAAACGATGCATACCCGATAATTTATTAGAAACACCAGAATTTATTGACCTGATTAAAAATGTTGATGAAAATTACGATAAACATATATAAATAAAACGAAATACTACAACTCATTCATTCTTAAAATGTAAATCTTGGCCAATTGATCTTGTAATAAGAGAAGACAAACATGTCTTAAATGATGAATCTCAATCAGTACTATTTCCCGT